CCTGACACCCCCAGGACGCTCTTCAGCTGTTCCAGTTTGGACTTCCTCTCCTCAATCTCACAATCGCTGTGGGTTCCCAGGTCCACCACCAGCTGCCGCGCAATGTCCAGCACTTCCTGTTGGAAAGCAGACAGTCCCAAGCATTCAGCAATTGCGCCTCAGACTCACCACTGCATTCTTGCAAGGCTTCACCCAGACACTTGTGAGAGACACACATGCAATACAGACACAGCTCAGGCAGGACAAACTTTCACACCACAGTTTGCCTCGTCCCCACCCTGGGCCCCAGCCCCGTCCAGAACCAAGCAGGTGCCCACCCCAAGCCCGGACCTGTTGTTCACCACAGGCAGTCACAACAGACGGGCCAGCCGTATCGGGTTATCCCCACCAGCCAGAGACAGCCTCCATTCTGCTCTCGTTCGGTCACCCAGCTGAGCGTGCACGAGGTGGAGAATGAGAAATGGAGCATTTGTGCGACAGACTGCTGCCCTTTTGAGGGTTTCCACCCTCCCAAAGAATTGCCTCATGCTGGGATCTGTATTACCTGCACGTCCCCCACAATAACCACAGAGAGGATTCCCCTCACCTGGAGCTGCTCTGGTTTCTTCAGCTTCAACTTCCCTGTCTTGTAGCCATCATATTTCTCAAATAATTCAAAGAACCTGAACAGACAACAAAAAACCCTCATCCGCTTTCTGCTGTTTCAGTGCTACAAGGACCGTCATCCCTACACACGCATTCACACTCTGTTCCTCAGGGAGAACCAGCAGGTGCACTGGCTCCTTCCTGGGCTTCACAAATTCTGAAAAAAACAAGTGTCTCCAGCCACAGGAACAAAAACGAAGCAGCCCCTAGCTTCCCATTTAGTGGGGCATTTCCCTTTGCAGCACCTCGCAGACCTTCACTCTTTTTTACAGTGTTCACACAGAAGGTACCAGGACCCCCGTGGGGAAAGGGTCTCCCTCAATAAGGAGGCAGAAAGCATTTGCTTGAATGGAGCCAGGAATAAGCACTGCTGCCTGTGCCCTCAGCCCTTCTGGTCCTCCTCTTGGCTCAGAAAACGGGCCCTTCTCGCTTCCCCACAGCACAGCATCTTCTTGCCTTGACACTTACCGAGGATGCTTAACTTCCATCTTCATCTTCTGCTTTGGGGTGCGATCTCCGTGCCGGATGACCGCAATAACACAACGAAGCTCCATCCTGAGGAAAGACAAGAGACACATCTGACAAATGTGCCCCTACACTCCAGAATTGCCAACATTGCTCTTCCAGTGTCTGCGAAGCCAGGAGTCACGTCAGCTGTGCCGTTTGCGTCTGCTGACTTTCTCCAGCGGATCACGCAGTAAAGCAAGGATGAATTCTCTCAATCTACCTTTTCCGTAGCACCTACTTGGTTTACTTCATACAAGTGTACAAGCGTGCTGAGAATCACAAAGAAACTTTAGTGGTGGAAAACTAGTAAGACCAACAGCACCAAATGAGGGTCTGCCAAGCGCCCAGGTAATGCGAATACTTCAGCTAATTGTTTTCCACCCATTTCACTGGCAGCTCGACACACATTTTCTCCAAGCAGCAACCTGCCGAACAGTGAGCCAGCTGCAGCAACACCCCCACCCGTTCCCTGTGCTGATCAAGAATTTGGGCCTTCTGAAAGGCACATGAGCAGTTTCTGTAATCTCTCCAGTGACTGCACATCTGCATCCATCAAGCCAACAGCTGCTTTACCCTCTACCACCCACTCCCTGTGCATGGCTAAGCCTTTCCACAGGCCTTCCAGGGTAACAACCAACCCAGCAGCTGGAGAACGCCGTGCTGCTGGGTGAGGTCTGTCTCTCACACAGCTGTCACTGGCACCTTCTGAGGAAACGGAGGGTACTCACATGGTGCCTGAAGTCGTGGGGACAATGGGAATGTCTTCTGCTTCTGTTGGGATGGACCAGGGAATATGAAACTGGGGAGCCAATTCCCGCATGATTATATTTCTGGAAGAAATCAAAATACAAAGCTCACAAGAAATTTCATTTCCTTGGTTCTGCACCTCCTCCTCAGCGCTCCACCTGAAAGATATGGTAAAGAGCCACAGAATTTCCCTTCACCTTCCTCGCAGAGACATCTATCACACCATGGGCTAGTCAGGGCACCCCGAAGGGACACCAATTTCCCTCACAGCACCAACACTGCAGCTGGTCTTAGCACCCAATGAAAATTTCTGTATGATACATCTAGCTGTAGACAAAGACAGCTAACACCAGTCCAGGTAGGAGCTCCAGGGTCTAAAAATAATTAACCTCCTCCTCCCAGAGTTTTTTCTGAACATACGTCCCCTTATGAACCATCTGCCGACTCCTCTGACACACTGATCAGGACTCCGCATTTCTTTTACTTTGTTAGGGGTTACTGTACCCGCTATCAAAACTGGAGTTTTACATACCCGAGGATTTTGGCACAGTCATCGTAATACTTCATAGAGTTCTTCACAAAACTGAAGCCGTTCACATCACAAACAAAGGAGTGGCCGTTGGCCCGCAGCAGGTCGAAGCCGCACACCGTTTGCTGCGTGAGGAAGCAAAGGACAGGGGACGGGGCAGGCTGTGAGGGAGGCAGCGGGTGGACGGCAGCGCCCGCTGAGCGCCCACACACAGCCCCTGCTGGCACCGCAGCCATCCTCCGCTCGACGCCTGCCCCACGAGCCTGAGGAAGTGCGACGTGCAGTCACCAGTCAGCAGCAACGGGCCCTTCAGAGGAACCTCTACACCTGCATGGCTGTGTCAACAGCCCAAGCCAGGTCCAGCCCAGATTAAGGTGTCAGGGCTGCCCTGCTGCCTCCCAGAGCTCTACAGACTTGTGACAGAGCAGCTCCTGGCTCTCCGGCTCTTGCCTCTCAGTCCAACCATTTAGAATCAGACTGACAAGTGGTGCAGGCAAAGACATCCACCTCTATGTGGAAAAAGCTACACGGCAGAGCAAGCCCACAGTGGTATCAGCACAACTGCACGGGCTGCAGGTGGCAGTGGGAGCAGGAACAAGCAGCCAAGTGCTTCTTCTGCTGACACTGATGAATATGTCATGTAACCATACCTAGATGCACACACTCACTCTACCAACCTGTAAAACAGAAGACACATGGGTACCAAAGCCAGGTCAAAAATAGAAAAAAAAAAAAAATGAAGACAAAAAAAAAAAAAAAGAAAAGAAGACCAAACTTTCCACACAAACACAACTAAGAAACAGTAAAGACAGAATGAGCCCAGGTCAGATGGACAGCAGCATGCTCAGAATCTGATATTAAATGCTCAGACATACATTGGACACCAGCCACCTGCCAGCACAGAGGGCATTTGCTTCCAGCCCTCCTGCCTTCCCAGTCATCTCTGACCAGCGAACCTCTCGGGGCTAGCTGCACCCAGCCAGCAGAGACAGCAGCTGGTGGCAGCTGCGTGGAAGACGGCTACGCCAGAGACCCGGCAGGGTAACAGAGCTCAAGCCCTAACGCTGACCAAGATTTGAATCACACATTTGTGGACTATCCTGCTTGCATAGGAGAGAAAACACAGACCTTAAAGGCTACACAGACTTTCCGCGCAACTAGTTTCTCCATGGCAGTCAGCATGACTGGGTAACGGATTTCTTTCCCTTCACTGTCCCGTTCAACCTTCCCATCCAAAGCAGGGGATTTGCGAGCCTCTGCATGGGCGTAGTCCGGCCCAACAGTGTATACCTGAGGAGAGAAATAGATACCCCTGACAAAATCACCTAGGCCAACCACAGCCTCCCGATGGTGTTTGTGCTGCAGGCACAGAGAGGAGATGATCAGGCAGTCTCAGCCATTCCTCCTGTTAGGACCTGCAGAACACTCGCTCCCCACTTTGGGATCCAAGCTGCACAGTCAGCAATTCACAGCTTAAACTATCACTCCAGAACCTACATAGCACTGCCCGATCTCCACTATCCCTGGAGAAGGAAGGACTTGTTCCAGGCTTTTCCTTACCTTTACATCAGTGCCATCTGTAGGCATGAACTCCTCATAAATGTAAGAGCCTGTCTTCCTCACACTGCTCTCTGGGGAGTACACGCTACTGCGCCTGCCAATCTGAAAGCACAGAATAAACACCTCAGGGAAGAGCATGGGGCTTCTTTTCTCAGATGGAAGAGCATAAAGCATAAGTTTCATCCCATACGTAGAGAATTAGCAGAACACCTCTTAGCTGTCATAGAATCACGGAATCATCCAGGTTGGAAAAGGCCCCTGGGACCATCGAGCCCAAGCACTAACCCTGCTCTGCCAAGCTCACCCCTAACCCATCTCCCCCAGCCCCACATCTCAACAACCTTTAAACACTCCCATGGATGGGGACTCAACCACCTCCCTGGGCAGCCTGTGCCAAGCTCTGACCGCTCTTGCTGGGAACAGATTTTTCCTAATGCCTGGTCTAACCCTGACCTGCTGCAGTTGGAAGCCGTTCCCTCTGGTTCTGTCGCTCATTACCCGGGAGGAAAGACCAGCCCCAACCTCTCCACGACCTCCTTGCAGGCAGTTGCAGAGAGTGATGAGGTCTTCCCTCAGCCTCCTCAATCACTCCTTCAATAGCTCTTCCTAAGATTTATTCTCCAATAAACTCTCCAGCAAACTCTCCAATTTCTGTCACAGCACAGGGGAAGGCAAAATCAGCACTACCGCTAAAACACGTTCTTCTGCAACTCCCCGGTAGATTGCGTTGAACTAAAAGTTCTAAGGTCTAGATTTCCCCAACACAAAACTTTCCCTTCCCCTGCCCCAACACTCGCTTCGAAAACCACAGGGCTCTCAGAGCCACAGATATCAAAATCAGAGTCCCCCTCCTCACCTTCCGAAAAAGCCGCTGACTGCCCCCACCTGCTGACGTCGGGTAGTAAATATACACATTATGGTCTTCAGCACTGACTGGCTTCTCTACAAATGGCTTTGGGAAAACAGCTCCATTTACCTCCACGTGGTCCTCTCCTTCCACCAAGTTGCACTCTGAAGACAAAGCACAGCAGCAGCATGTTAGGAAAGGGTGAGACAGCCCCAGTGCAGAGCCGAAGGCACTCAGTCCTGGCCAGCCAGCCAGATTTGCTGCCGGGACCTTCGTCTGCAAAAAACAACAGACTTGTGCATCAGACCTCTTCAAGCTGATTAGTAGTACCTGTTCTCTGCAGAATATCTTAAATAGCACAGTGTATGAAAACGGCTTTCAGTAGAGCCTGGACACTGACCTTCTGGTCTATCGGGGTCTCGATTGAGCACAGCATAGCGGGGCAAGTCTATTCCCTCTTCCTGAAGGATTCGATACACTTCACGCCTGTAGAGGACAGAAACAGTGTCAGAAGAGCCTAGAAAATGCCGTCCTCCCCATCTCACTCATTTGCTTGTGGTCAGGATGACAAAGTCTGCACAGCATGCTGAGAGAGGACTCAGAAAAAGGAAGAGGGGAGGGGCTTCAGTGGCTCACCAGCACGTACCTGTCCTGGATATAATACTGCATATCGAGGTCATTGATCAGGAATGGCTTGCACAGCTTGGCATACGCAACCGCTTTATCCAGGGGGAATCCTGAAATACAGGGAGGAGGAGGGGAAGAATGAGTGGAAGTTCCCTTGCCCACATCTTGAGAGGGCTCAAGCCTGCCACAGACTTTTACCTTTGGAGTGGAACGATATCAGGCAGTCACAAGAGGGCCAGTTCTCCACCGGTTCATTCAGAATGACATCTTCCCCCATGATCACCACCGTGATATACTCAAACTTGCACAGACGCTCCAGAATCTGTGTCATGGGCTTTGACTTGGACTTTTTAGTCATGGCACAGATTCCAACCACAATCTGCCGTTCAGGTGGCTACGGGAAGACAGAGATCAGATTAGTACAGGACTTCACTGAATTTAAACTATAACAGTGCAAAGATGCAGCCACACAGAACAAACACAGGATTTTCTTCCTTAGGCACTCACAGCTCTTGGCAGACTCAAACCCATACACTCTTCTGGCTCCTACGAGAGTCCCCTGAGGGACATCATTAAGGGACAGCCCAAAACAACAGCTTCTTTGCCAGGTAGTATAGACCTCCTCCTTTTACTGGGCACTAATGCAAGGTCAGAAACAAATACCTGGCGCCTGAACAAGCATCAGGGGCTGGAATCCCACATTATGTTCTCTGGCCCATAACTCACCAACACAGTGGTGGACTTAGGCAGGCTCAGAGAAGAGCCACAAATGTTTTATCGTGAAAAAGTCCAGAAGCTCAGTCTGTTTGTCTTATCTGAGAGAACAATAACTAGCCACGAGTAGAAAAGAAACAGCAGCAAGTGCTCTTCCACACATCTGACAAAGATACAACAAGATCCAGTGAGATGAAGTTAAGTTGAGTGAGTCAAGAGAGAAGGTGTGCATTGAAAACTCATTGGTAACCATAACAGAGGAAGACACGGGGACTTCCCATCACCATCAGATTGGATGTTTTCCCAACGGATTAATTCCGGCCCAAGCAAGATTAAGCACAGTGAGATCATCTCAACTGATACACACAGGACTGTGGGTTACCCAGCACAAACAATTGCAACTTCAAACCATAAGCTGAGATTTCAGAAGTTACTGCACTGACTTGCAAAGCCACGGTTCCACAGCAAAAACATCTGGGAAATTAAAGGGTTTCCAAATCCTTCACCACACCTCATGAACAGCTCCTCCCTGAGCACGAAGGTGCACAACACTGGGCAGGTTTGAAGGAAGCCCATGTGGGCTCCTGGGCCAACAACCCACTTGCAACGAAGAAGCAATGGAAACGGCCCCTACGCTGACGTACGGCTCCAGCAACTGGCACAGCCAGCAGCAGCGTCCCCACAGCATCCAAGTCCCATGTGCAGAACAGCACACTTAACATGACACGTGCAGTCCCACCCGCAGAACGTAACATTTAATATAACACTGCTCAGGGGTCAAAAGCAGCCAGGAGCTGGAGACAATTCTCCTTTCTGCATCCTGTTCCTGAACGTTACAGAAAAGAATAAATGCTTCCTTTGGGCAGACACACCTTTGCCCTTTCACAGTTTCCAGAGTTTTTCTTAAAAAGTTTCTCTGGTGAAAGAGGAAGGTTTACAGAAGTGTCAGGGTTAAGTTGCTTGGACAAAGAAATCCACCACTGTACCTGAAAAGGACCTGCAAGTGAAAAGGCTAGGATTTACCGCAGCATGAGGCAGCAAGCACGGCAACATGACAACGCAACCCATCCTGTCAGAAATGACACTGCCGCTCCCCATGGTTGTGTCACACGGCCTGGTGCCGCGTCCCCTGAAGTCCCGACTGCCCGCGGCCTCGGCAGCAAACATGCAAACCCTGGCTGACATCCAGGAATTCTGCACAGAACACCGGGACCTCCTTACCGACTCCTCCTCTTCATCATCTTCAAAGAAATCGGTTTCGTCTGTCTTCATGTTTGATCCCAGAAAGTCTGTCTCATCATCCCTGGAACCGACAACAAACCTGGGAGTGGAGCCGTCTCCCTCACTGGAGGTCGTCAGGGACGACATTGCAGCTTTGGTGGCCAACCATCCCGCTCTGGAATCACAGCATGCAGAAGGGGATAGAGAGGGTCAGACGCAGGGGCCGGCTGCGCTACCCCAAGCAGGTGATGGTGAGGAGGGCAGGGACTGATCTGGGACAAACGAGCTCAGGGACGTGCTGCCCAACACAAAAGGAGGGAGCAGGAAGAGACCAGCTGTGTGAGGGGGGATCTGGGATTCAGGATCATTTTAGAGAGGCAGCTCCACTGTGCAATTAACCCCTTTGGACTGACTGGGAAAGGGACAGTGTCACCGCCAGCGCTGAAATCATGTAAACCTTACAATGATGCATGCTCCAAGCCGCTGTCTAAATCATGGAAGGGGACGGCAGACACTCTTGCAGGCTTGTACACCCAAAGACATCAGCTGGGACTCCAGAAGCTAGTAGGAAGCTTAGGACAGTGATGGTGCCTTTCCAATTGCCAATTTTCATCCTTTCAGCTCAAGAAGACCTGCAGTAACACAGAGACCAGTTTGTGAGGCACATGAGTTTGTGGGGAAGAGCAAAAAGGAAGAAGTGACACCTCTTTGGCAGGGAAAGATGACACAGAGGAAGCATCAGCAAGCGTTTGGGCTGCAGGTCACAGAATCACAAAACGATCCAGGTCAAGGCTTCCGGGTTTGTAAGCTGGCTCTGATGTACTCTGCGACCATGGAAGCCGATTATCAGGACGCAAGGCACGCTTTATAAATGCCAGGGGAGGAGCGTGTCTTACACTATCACCTACAACAGCAGCGCTGTCTGCTGCAGGAGTGACAGAGCTTGTCCGTGCAGCCCGCGTGACCTGACACACCAAGGACACAGCTGTTCACCTCTGACCATAGCTGCACACACAGAAATGCTGAGCGGTTGCCCTTTACGATGTTTTCCCCAAGTATGAAGTGGTGGAAAGCATTTCTCCCACGTAAGCATGTGCAACCTTGAGAAGAGGACGTTGTGAACACCTCATGTTATTAAGCACTTCCTAAAAATGGACACACGACACTCTCTGCTGCTGCTTCTCATGCTCTCACACAATTTCCAGCCTTCTCCAGACTGTTGCCGCATTTCCCCCTTTCGAGCACACGGTAGGAGACTACACGGCTACACAGAGCCGTCAGCTCCCCATCCCCTGGCAGCTCTCCTTCACAGAGCACAGACACACACCCGAACGCCAGCAGCCTGCTGTCAGCACTGCTTCTCAGCCAGCGAGAATCCCCTCACCAGGAACAACAGAGGGAGATCGCCTTAATCCATCTGAGCAGGTTAGGAACAGGCAAAAGAAAAACGCACAGAGCAATCCAGCTGCTTGTGAAGTCCCCACAGAAATAAGGGTAAAACCAAAGCATGTCCTCAGGCGGAAAGGCTGAAAGGGCAAGAGATGTAACAGGTCAGTGCTGGGGCAGGAGCACTGACACGGTCACACAGGCACTGGCTCCACAGCCTGTTCTCACACCAGATGCACCAGAGAGCCAACATCCGCACAACCGAAACCAGAGAGGAGACAGAGCAAGCCAAGACTTCGCACCTACCGCAGCGAGGATGATCTCCTCGGCCTGACTCCCAGCTCATGCTGGTCCCACGCGTGCCCCGAGCCGCCTGCTCCCACACAGACCCGGGGGCACAGCGCGCACCCCGCGCAGTGAGGCGTCCCACTCAGCCAGAGTTGGAGCTGGAATTCACCGTCAGGGCTCTCGGCTGCTGGGAGCAACAGCGCTGGCAGAGTAGGCTACACAGGCATTTTACTGCACACTCCTCGCGAGGGCAAGAGCAGGATCCCTGACATGCCCAGGAACCGTCTGCATACCCGTGCCCTGCTGCCGCAGCGTGCCAGCACAGAACGAGGCTGCAGCAAGTACGGTATCAGCTCGATCGCTGGCGATTTAATGAGGCAAACCATGCAAGAAGAGGAGGAGGGCTGTTTTCTCCAATCCCTTACTCTCCCCTCCCTCCTGGCAAAAACAGATCAAGCAGCAGGAAAACCTTTGCCCTTGAGAACTAAGAAAGC